GCTGGGGTAATAATAATATAGATTGTAAAGTGCAAAGATAGAGAGAGAGAAAGAGAGAGAGAGAGAGAGAGAGAGAGAGGAGAGAAAGAGAGAGAGAGAGGAGAGAGCGAGGAGAGAGAGGAGGGAGAGAAGGAGAGGGAGGAGAGAGAGAGAGGGGGGTAGACAGGAGAGGGAGGAGAGAGGAGAGAGAGAGGGGGGAGGGAGAGGAGAGAGAGATCCCAGAACTATTTACCTGGCACCACAGAGCGCTACACAAACTGCTCATCCGGGGAGGCGTAGGAGAGATAGATAGATAGATAGATAGATAGACAGATAGATAGATAGACAGATAGATAGATAGACAGATAGATAGATAAATAGATAGATAGATAAATAGATAGATAGATAGATAGATAGATAGATAGATAGATAGATAGATAGATACAGACATCAACAAAAGTTAGGGACCACCATGACAGACAGTCCTCATTTTTAAAAATATCCGAAAAAAGAGACTCTGAAAGTGTTAATGGGTTACCAACGCGTACTGCAAAGCTTCCTAAAGAACCAAAACCACCACGAGCAGCCTGGAAATCCGAGGGGAATTTTAGCCTAATTTGGTGTTTTTTATCGACTTTTGTGCAACACCACGGACATTCCTCGGTTAAAATTTCTGGTGCTCGTCATAAACGGACGGACGGTCTCGAACTGTGCTCACTTAAATGGCAATAATATAAGCCACCGTTTGCACAAAATCCAGTATCGCATCAACATGCCACCAAGACGAAAGCCGAGAGACTTTGATTGTGCCAGAGTTATGGCATGGCTGTAGGATGGAGTTGGAGCCCGAGAAGTTGCCAGAAGACTTGCAGTGTCACACTCTGTCATTGTCTGCTTCAGGCAGCACCATCAAGCCACTGGATCAGTCCAAGAACACCCATGCGCAGGTCGGCTCAAGAAGACCACTCAGAGTGTTTACAAGTGGTCCTTAACTTTTGTTGAAGTCTGTATAGATAGATAGATAGATAGATAGATAGATAGATAGATAGATAGATAGATAGATACTCACCCGGCACCACAGAGCGTAACACAAACTGCTCATCCGGCGAGGCGTAGGAGATGAATACGTCAAACTGAAATTCTTCCTCCTTCGTCTTCTCTCTCTCCTTGCACAGGATGTACGCAGCGTAGTAGAAATACCTGTTGTGTTGTTAGTCGTTTTGGTTTGTTTGTTATGTTGGTTTGTTTGTTATGTCGTTTGTTATGTCGTTTGTTATGTTGGTTTGTTTGTTATGTCGTTTGTTATGTCGTTTGTTATGTCGTTTGTTATGTTGTTTGTTATGTTGTTGTTGTTTGTTATGTTGTTGTTGTTTGTTATGTTGTTGTTTGTTATGTTGTTGTTTGTTATATTGTTTGTTATGTTGTTGTTGTTTGTTATGTTGTTGTTGGTTTGTTATGTTTGTTATGATGGTTTGTTATGATGGTTTGTTATGATGGTTTGTTATGGTGGTTTGTAGGGCCAGGGTTTTAAGGGGAAGGGGAGGGAAGACGATTGCGTGTCAGGGGTTGAGTGTTGGGGGAGGGTTATGTTTGTAAAAAGAAAAAAAATAAATAAATTACAATTTTATTGATCTAAGAAGAGCCATTTGCTTACAATGGCAAACATACTTACACACATAAGTACATAATTATAAATACACACATACATAAATACGTATGCATATACATACATAGATACACAAATACAGAACAATTTCACAACCATTCCTTTGCTGCTCTGTCTATTTTTATCCAGTGTCTCCGCCCTGTTTGGGGCCAGGTCACCATAACCCGTGTCACGACGTGGTGGAATCAGGCTCTCGTAGATGTTTGGGCATATGGAGCTATTGGTACCATCTTAAAGCTTGTTTATTTGTCTTTGTTTCAGAGAAAAAAAATTACCGTCTTATCTTTGATAGAAGTCGAGATGTTTGCGATTAAAGGAGATGGAGGGCATCTGGTTTCAGGGGTAAAAATAGAGAGAAAATGGCCTCCAAAGTTTGATGGATTCCGAACCTGGAGAGCCCTGGGAAAGTGAAAGTTTACATTTTTGGGGCTTTTGATCAAGTTTTTCAAAAAAATCCACACAAAAATTTGTTTCCAATTGATATGAAAGATGTTTAGCCAAAATACAAAAATTTGATTTTTAAAATGCCAAACCGACGGAGAATCGCCTGTTTCTTCAATTTGGTTATTCTGACAAGAGCCTTATTTCACAATGCAGCTTCACCCCTCTTTATAAAAACAGAGCTAAAACCATGAGGTTTGTTCACAAAATGAGTTAATTCTCGGATTTTAGCCCTATATGGATACCGATAGATGCATGCAGTTTATATGCTGGGTTTGTCCAATTTATTGTGTGGAATGAAAAAGACAATAAGGTTTAACTTGAAGAATATGACATCAGTTTAAAATATACAATGAATTGTAAGTGTCTATTTTTGGCCGATATCTCCATTCGTGGATTGCAAGAAGTGACTCATTAGTCAGTACATCTCACAAATTTCAATAAAAACCCAAAATAAGAGTTTTTAAAAGACATAAAGCAGCTACCCTTCCTATATGTGATGCAGCGTGGTGGAATCAGGCTCTCGTCAAAATAATCGAAGTGAAGAAACTTGAATTTTTCCACAGGTTTGTGAATTTTATCAAATTTTTGTTTTTTGGCGCAACACCTTTCATGCCCATTAAAGAACTCATTTCTGTGTGGATTTGTCTGAAAAACTGATTAAAGGCACAACAAATGTAAATTTTCAGTTACCACGGACTCTTAAGCTAAGGAAATAATTATCTTTGGCGGCCATTTTCTGACTAATTTTACCTCTAAAGAAGGTGACCCCCACCTCCTTCTTTCGCAAATATCTCGACTTGTATTCAAGATATATATTTTTTTTTTCCATCCAAATAAAGACAACCGAACAAGCTTTAAGGTGACACAAATAACTCTGCATGCCCAAAAATTGACGAGAGCCTGTTTCTACCACGCTGCCTCACATATGGCTTTAGTTTAGTTAAGTAAGAGTTTTACGGCGCACACAACACTGCATAAGGTCATTAATTGAGCGCCTGTGAAATGTTGGTCAATTCCAAATTAAATGATAGTGTAAATGAACAAAGAGGAAGCAGAATTCTGGTGTCATAGGAGACTATTAGACATGTGGAGAAGTTGGTGAAGGGAAAAGAGTGCTGAAAGAAGCCCACGTCGACTGTTCACTAAAAGAAGCCCACGTCGACTGTTCACTAAAAGAAATACTTAGGAAGAAGGAAGTGTCTACGTACTCCCCGATTAGGGTCTACGTAGTCATGGTGTCTAGGTGGAGCCCAAAAATGTTGGATTGTGATTGGCTCGCTGAGCGAGTGGTAGTTTACATTGGTTACAATGCAAGGCTGCTAGGCCTACTTACTGATCATCTCGGGTAGTGATTGGATTTATCTTGTCTTACTATAATT